AGAGGGGAAGATCACATGTCAGACAACTAAAGAATCAATGATTGTCAATCCCGTAAGTAACACACAATCAAATATCCGCAAAGAAAACTAAGAAAATGACTCTGTACAATCAAGTGTTAGATTAAAACCAAACATGGAAACCAAACTTGCCTCATTGTTTATTGGTAACACTTATTGTCTTCATCATTGTACAACTTTCAGCGGTTCCCAGTAGTGTTGAATGAACATGACCTGGAAATTACCTTTAAACAAATAATTACTTCAAGGAGAATAAGTACATGCATTAGAAGGAAAGTCAGTATACACATATATATGCTATCAATACATTTCGACAGTCACAACTGAAAGATTTTTTTGTGCATATTCAAAAGGCGCCAATCACATGAAATAAAAGCAACCAAGCTATAACAGAAACTTCATACCGGAATTGGCTAAAGCACATCAAATGCAACAGACCCTTAAATATAATAAATTCCAAATGTAGGGAAATAATGAATATCCGTGCTGGCTTTTTTTTTCATCTGATCCTTTTCCCTTGACTTTTCATCTGACATTTTTCCTCTGATAAAATGAAAGAATGGCTGCCTTTTTTTCAAAAAAAGAAAGAAAGAACATGAATGTTTATTACGGACCGATGCCAAAGCCTCGTGCATCAAAAGGGTGAGATCAAAACCATGGAAGAACAACGTTGCTACCGGCCATCAGCTATCAGGCCACGAGTAAACCTGCCACGGCCACCTTCGCACGTGTCGATGTTGCATATAGCTGCAACACAGGAATACATGCATATAGATCGGCTTGCCGATGGATCGAATTTGGATGAAACTATATTAAGAATAGTACATACGTGCAGATTAAGGTCGAGTTTTCCTATTGGGCCAGCCAGGCGAGATCGAGAAGACCTTGTCCTATCTATTTGCCTACTCTGATCCCCGTCGGCGTGACACCCTTCCAGATCTTGCGATCCTAAAAAACTCCCAGATACCGGTTCTTGTGGCCTACAACATCAAAAGCAAACGTACATACTTTCCCTAACTTGAGAACTGCTAATCCCAGACTTGCACAAAGTAATCAACAACATCAGATCTAAATGCGTGGGACAGGATGAGATCATGGAGTCTAACCTTTGGTGAGGATTTCATGATGCGTTGATGGGGCAGTCATGATCTAAGACTACAACGCCATGGGACTTCATCATTGTTGAACGATCACTCAATCAGAATCGAAGGTAGCACTGGATGGCATCGGTAGGCGAAGAGGACATGCCGACCTTGAAACCCAACGCGAAGAAGATGGCCAAGGCGACGAATCGGAGGGAGATAGATGGTAGAAGCGAAGGAAGGTTGGGGATGCGGGGCGGATATTATTGATGGGGGAGGGGGAGAGACAATGGGGATGGGGATGGCCGTGTCTGGAGCGCTGCCGCCGCCGCGAGGAGAATCCAAAGCGCAAGAAGGGGATGGGTCTGACCAGGGGCGTGGGGCGTGGCTGCGTAGGGAAAATTAGATAGATTTTGTTTTTTCTTTTGAGGGAAATGACCTCACAAGGTGGGCTGTGTGGGACTGTATGATGTGTGACGTGGCTTGCTGTGATTGGATGCTGACGTGTCTACGTTGCATGTTGAGATAAATCAAGTAGTGGGGATGAACTTCTTAAGTATATAGGATTATGAGTTGGGTCCATACCAATCAAGTATCTTGGGATGTCCATCTCAAATCGAGCATTGATGGTCATGGAACTTGAGCCCGTAGTTGACAAGGTGTCCAGGAGGGTTGAACTATGGCAAGGAAATCTTTTAGTCTTGAGCAGTAGGCTAGTGCTCATAAATGACTGCCTCACTAGCATCCCCAAGTTTATCACGAGGTTCTATCTTTTACAAGACGGTATTCACGAGAAAACTGGATAGGGTGTGATCCAGATTCTTCCGGGCTAAAGAGTTAGGCAAACAAAAATACCATAAGGTTAAGTGGAACGCCATTTGCTCATCAAAAGAAATTGGCGGGCTCGCAGTTACAAATCCCAAAATCATAAATTGGTGCCTGATCGCCGAATGGGCATGGAAATACTAATTGGATAAGGGGGTCAATGGCTAGATATATTTAAAACTAAATACCTAGTCGAGGGAGGAATGAACTTTCGGCCAAATACTAAGCTATCCCAATACGCGAGGGGAGTGAGGAAAGTTCGATCACTACTTGGATTGGGCATGAAATTTGAAGTGAAGGATGGTAGAGTGGCACTTTTCTAGTTGTTCGGTGACAACAATGACTGGTGTGGCTCTTTGACATTCGGGACGAAGGGACACCACCAGCTAGGGAGGCGCCCTCGTCTCACAACGAGTTTTGGTGCCGGAGCCTCATCCACTGAGAGTTCTTTTCCCGTTATTGGGTCACGCCTGGCCATGTATCCATTTGTGTCATGTTTTGTGCGTAAGCGTCATCGCAACTTTCCCTTACAACCTTTGTAAACTTCTAACGGCCTCATGTTTAGGCCGAGCAGATGACTTCACTCTATTTTTTTTATCAAACTAAGTTGCCTCTGGAGCCTCCAAATAAATAATAATAAAGTAAACTTTAAAAGTTGATCTTAGTTCACCAACCGGAATGAACTACTCCCTCCCATCCATATTACTTGTCGTTTAAACAGATGTATATAGCATCTCAATACATCTGTTTAAGCGACAAGTACATACAACTGTTTAAGCGACAAGTATTATGGATCGGAGGAAGTAGCGATAAACCAATGCCGCCGCCACCACCAGACGACTAGGGAGGCGATCTCTTTCCTTCGATCTCCACCGGCCGGGGCGCTGCCCCCCTCTCCCTTTGGTCGCTGCTCCGGCGTCAGGAGGGAGGGAGACCCCGTTCCTCCGCTCTGTAGTTAGGTTTTGGATTTGTAGGTCGTGGTGCGTCGTTGAGGTGGTGGGAGCGGCTCCCGGGCGTATAAATCTGCCTCAACTCCACCCCTACACTGGCGGTGTCCTTCATGGCGGCGTCTTCGGAGTTGATGGAATCATGTCTCTACCGACCTCTCAGATCGGCAGCGTTAGGGTTCATGGATGGTGTTGGCGAGGCGGCGGCGGTGACTCCATCACGTATGTCTCTCCTTCTGCTTTGTCCCTGTTGCTGTGGCATTGTCTCCGATGTCATGGTGGAGTAGGGAGGTTTTGTCGTTCAAGAGTACGCGCATGCGGTTGTCTACACAAGTGACAGTTGGAAGATGGAGTATCTTGTGCTGGGTCTGTGGTCGAAAGCTGACAGTTCTGGTTTCCTCCTTCAACATCGTCGTCATGCGGAGGTATCAGTTCTGAAGTTTGATGGCGTGTTCAGGGACATGTTGACCCGTTCCGATTCTTTCAACGGCTATGGTTTTGTTTCTGACAAACTATTTTGGAGGTCTGTAAAGCTGGTGATAAGTGATGGAACCGCGTCGAGCTTGGGTGAAGAGGTGTTTTGTCTTTTTACCTTTTGGTGGCCGCTTCGGTGGCGTCGAAGGAAAGGGACAGGCGCTGGTATTTTGCATATGATTTTTCTATCTTTTCAGTCATGCATGGTCGGTGATTACGTGCCTTGTAATTTGGTCTTTATTCTATATAAATGAGACATGTATTATCATGAAAAAAACAATAAACTGATGCATTGTGTTGTCAGCCTCCAGCACGGACTCAACTTTGGATAATGTTTCCGACTAGGTGCCAAGCTGGGATAAGCGTGAATGAAGTGGAGGACGCATGGGTCTCCTCCTATTCCTGCTGCTACTGGTCTTCCGTTGTATCAGGGCCCATCCTCTCTATCTCCACCCCTGCTAAAATACTCCTACTCGATGAATCACATCGATAAGACGGCGACAAATAGCGTTCTTCCCTGTCCTTTTCCTCTTCGCACCGACAGATCCCGCAACAAATTAAATAGAAGAAATACAGTCCTGTATTTCTTTTGAGAGAGAGACAGATCCAAAGAAGCGGCTGGCTTTGCTGCTGCTGTTCCAACCGAAAAGGCGAGGAGAGACGGAGGAGGGGCGGCCGTCGGGAGGAGCGTGAGGCCGCCAGCTCCAGCTCGAGCTCAACCCTGAAGAAGAAGAAGAAGGCCTCCTTCCCTTCCCCCGAGCTCAAGCCTAGAGCAAAGCTGTAAGAATCTCTATCTACCAAGCCTCTCCCTCCCGTGCGGTTTGTTGGCTAGTACTCCTAGATCTCAAGTTGCACAGCATAATGCTATCCTACCTACTACCTGCGCAGCTAGGTGCGGCATTTGGGTCTGGATGGGATTCCCACTCAATCTGCCGTGCCCTTCTTGCTCTATTCTCTTTCGAGCGAGCTAGGGTTGGTCCCGAAGGAGCGCAGGAGCGTCGGGGAAGCACAAATCTGCTTGCCCGCGTGCTCTGATGGGGCGGTGTGCCGGCTACTTTGGGGTGGATTTGGGCGCAGCTGCGTCAGGAAGGAGTGTTTCTTGCCACCTCTTTATGGTTGTTTATCCCCTCCGTTTGGTTGAGGGTTTAGGATTTCCCTTTATAAATGAGGCGAAATATACCAAAAATACTTGTTTCAAAAATAATAATACCAAAAATAGAAGACGAATAACCCTCTGGATGCCCCAAAAGGGAGCAACACCCAGCTACTTTGTGTCTTGCGTATCTTCTGAATGGGAAAAGGGAAAGGATTAGATTCATGCTGATGCTTGTTAATTTCTTGTGTGTGTTTTGGTGCATTCCTTGCCAAGACTGAAACTGTATTCCGATCAGTATGTTGTGCAATGAGAGAGCTAAGCATGGTGGTAGTACACCACTGCCTCACGGAATCTTGGTTCGGCTCTGCATCTTGTACAAGAACAGACGCGGCTGCGAGTTTTGTGCAGCAACTCTAAGCCTGGGAAAAATACCTCCAGCCTTCTTGCATTGAACTAGGATCAACTTTCTTGTGCCAAACCTTCAAAGTATCTACTGTCTGCTCTACCCATTTTTTTTACCAACAACTGTTCTGTCTTGTACAGTACTTATGTCTGCACATGGAGTCATCTACAGCTGATGCCGGTGACAAGCATCTGGGGAGCTACCTGACATTGGGTTTGACAGTATCGCAGTCAAAGAAAGGGGATACTAAGTTTCCAAAGGTCCTGTCGCTTCTTGCCACATATCTGGGCAGATCAGTTCAGAAGAATGAAGAATTACTAGGTTCTAATGGAATAAAGGAGTCGACCACCATCTTTCATGGCCAGAAGGTGCCAGATCTCAGTATACAGCTCTATGCAGAGCGCATTTTCAAATATGCCGAGTGCAGTCCATCCTGCTTTGTGTTGGCACTTGTCTACATGGAGAGATATCTACAGCAGCCAAATGTGTACATGACGCCCTTCAGTGTTCATCGCTTGCTGATTACAAGTGTGGTGGTTGCTGCCAAATTCACAGATGATGCGTAAGTGTACCCAATGCAACTGCAATTCAGCTGTATTTTGTGTATATCACAAACATGTACAGGTTTCCCAGAAACTTTCTCAAAATCTCAATGCATCTCCTGCAGGTTTTTCAACAATGCATTCTATGCTAGGGTGGGAGGAATCAGCACAATTGAGATGAATCGTCTCGAGCTGGATTTGTTGTTTAATCTGGACTTCAGGCTTAAAGTGAACCTAGAGACATTCGGGAGCTACTGCTTGCAGCTGGAGAAACATGCACCTGTGTCACCAGAGAGACTGCCGGTTCAGGTTCATTGTGTCAGTGTCAAAGGATCTAAAGATTTGAGCTATAGCAGCAGTGCTAGCGCCGACGAGTTTTGCCAGAGCAAGCTTGTTCGCCAAAGCTACAGCAGTCAGGCTCTCCAAGGATGCAGCTGACCAATCTATTTATGGCCTAAAGTTTTGCAAAGCATGTGACCTGATTACTGATAATTCTTTTAGATCTGACATTTGTGGATTCAGATTGCATTAAGTTGTTCTGGGGGTGTTTGATTAGTAGGGCTTTGATTCTACTCCCTCTGTAAAGTAGATGATCTAAACGATCTTATATTTCTTTACAGAGGGAGTATTTTACTTCTGTAACACTGTAATTCTTGCAAACCACTTTGTTTAAAATGTTCACAATCGAGTTGGGAAACAACAGGTCTGAACATTGTTCATGTCCTGTGATATCCAATGCCGCGGTTTAACCGGTTCTGTTGCCAAGTAGCCTGTCGGCAAAGATGAATCAAGGTTTTCCAAGATCTGTGAATGGACTGTTCATTCTCCATGCATCTTCTGATTCTGTTTGAGTCGCATAACAGGATCTGTGATGATTTCCACCGGCATTGTTGCAACAAGGAATTTATAAAACGAATTACTTCCCTGAACACAAGACCATGACTACGAGAGACATTGCCAAAGCATGAAAACAGAGCCAACGCCTCAGATGCACATTCGAGTCAGAATATTTGAGTGGTGCAGCATATAATTCGAAATAGATGCTATGAAAAGGCTGGACCCACCTGCAGCTTCAACACCCCCACGCTACTCTAGTTTTGTTATCTGTAAGTAACATGAGCAAATTAGTTTTATGAGGGGAAGAGACCATCCAGACTGGTATTTTTCTGTCTGATACTCAGCTTTAAATTTCTGTACGTATTCTCTGGGCAGTCCTCAAACGTTATCCCTTAATTAGACTAGTAGAGTAGATATCTGGGCAGTCGTAAAGAAATCCACAATTCTAGTCATGAGGGGATTGTAAAATTAACTACTCCCTCCGATCCATATTAATCGAGAGAGGGGATTGTACTACAATTTAGGTGCAAGGAAAGGAGAATTCATATTCCTATGTTTTTCCTCCACTTGTCCTATGAATCAAAGAACAACTTGTCACCAGAGTACAAAGATAAAACAATACTACAAATAATGTGATAGTAGTACACATGTATATTTATTACTATTCATTATTCAGGAGAAAGACAAAGCACAGTAGTAGATGGAGTTGGATCATCAAAATACTTATAAAGCAAAGGCATAGTTTGTCAAGATGGGCTCCTCATGATGGACAGATGAAACAGCAACATCAACATGCTTGACTCTGACAGGCCGTTTTTTCCCTCCGGGTGCATCTTCACGCTCCACGATCACGGTGGTGGCAGTCAGGGAATGACTATCAGTAAAAGGATCCGGAGTAAAATACCCTTGGATCACGCAGAAGACAATGCCACCAGCAGAGATGCTGTCCTCCTCCTTACCAATGCACTCAAAGCTCATAAACCTTCTGTCGGAGAACTTGTCCCAGGGAAATTCCAGCACCATGGGAGCACCAAGGATAAATTTTCCATCATCTTGAGCCAACTCATAAGCCTCAAGGCCTTCATCCCAGCAGGCATACACAAAACCCTCCGCAAAAATGCATCGCCCATTCAGCAAACCGATTTCGCCGAGCCACCTGCTCATACTTGGTGGCTCCACAACAAACCACTTACCACCATGCCTCAGGTCACACAAGAAACACCTCTCCGTGTCGAAATCCGAGATCAGAAATGCGCCGTCGCCTACGTCGACAAATCCAAAAACCTTAATCTCTTGCTCCAAATCCAAATCCCCCGATGTTCGGCGATAGACCCACTGTAAAGTCTGCCTATCAAGAGTATAGACAGCCATCAACTTCTCGCCGATGGCGACAATGTCTTCACCAGCTCGGAAGACGGCCGAAAAATAGACACTGCCCGGTCTGCTCTCGACGAGGGAGTAGGACATACTGCTCAGATCAACCTTGTACTGGCTATGGTGTGGGAAAGAAGGGATGACAAACAACTGGGATCCGTCATGTACAAAATGCCAGGTTGCAGGGAAATCTACACTGACACCTCCATCTCTAATTGTGTCTAGACACAACTGTGGTTCTAGCACACTTGCATCACATCTCAACTTTCCTCCAGTAGTAGAGATTTGATATAACACAGATTGCTGATCAACCTGGCATATGAAATACAGATCACATTTGGTCACCACTTTGCAGTCCACAAGACTGTCTGCGGTCCAAACCAGTTCGCCCTTTCGTTTCAAATAATTCCTGCAGGTGGAAATTGCAATTGTTAAAGCACACAAGTGAGGTAAATGCTCCCAGAGTATCAAAAGCCAAGTAACTAATTTAAGAAAAGCTGTTTCCAGTAACTAATTGTTATAGTATCACCCAAGACATGATGAGAAAGTTGTACTTGAACTAACTGAAGACGAGAAAATCGAACCTGCAGCATTTAAGCATTTCTTGGGAATCTTCAACAGGGTGGTCGAACCCTCCGAACATTGCGCGCAGTGAGGTATCATCCACCTTGCATGCATCGTCAGTATATGCCCTGGTTCACCAATAAAAATATACAAAGTCAAATTTTACGTAAATGACAGCACATCAACTTCTTGATAGTTTTCATCAAATGATGTCCACTTATAAAGTACTAGTGCAATCAAGAACAACTCGAAGCCCCAATTCCAACTTTTGTTCAAGCGGAAACCAACTTATTATTAGAACTTAAAAATGCAGGCACACTTACTGCAAAGTGGCAAAAGTGTCATAGTGATTGTACTGATACGATTTTTCTCTGAGCATGTCCACCCTGCGGCATGTGGAGTACAGGACCTCGATGCCGTGGACAGGGCTGCCTTCACCGTCGTCTGATCCGGCTGCGCTCCGGACGCGGAACGTGGTGATCATCGCATGCCGCGCGTCGCAGCTGCACGCCTCGTACATGTTGATCCACACCGCGCACAGCATCTGGCCCGCGAGCTGAACGATGAAGCCACGCCCTTCGTTGTAGTACGGCCACAGCATGTCGACCATCACCGGCGGCTCGAGCGGCGCGTCCTCCTCCTCCTCCGGCGAGTACTTGTAGGCAAACAGAGTGGTGCCATTGATGAAAAAGATCGCGCCTTCCTCCTGGACATGCACTGCCCTGCCGGAGATATATTCATAATCGGAGGCCTTGTCGGTAGCAGTGCGGACACGGGTCAAGGAGCCGGTGGCGCAGTTGAAGCAGAAGAAGGTGGAATCGATGAGTGACAGCAGGATGAACTTGTCGTCGATGACAGCGTAGCCCCGGAGCAGAGGGCCAGCGAATAGGGATTGGTATGTACGCTCCAGCCGTTCCAGGGAGTGGTGGCTGGCAGCCACGTCCCATCCGTGGCCTCCTTTGTCAAGCCTATGCACAAGGAGGCGCCAGCTGAACATGCCCGGACTGTCCTCGATTCTCTCTGTCAATACGGCTGGTGCCCAGAGCTCGCCATGGGCCGAGACGGCGTGGTATGACCCTCTCAGGAACGGGAGGGGTGCCAGTCGGGACGTCGACTTGTTGACGAGATCGACGGCCACCGCCTTCGGCGGCATGTCCAGCTTGTCGGGACGCATCAGGTGGGGCGGAGGGTAGTGGGTGCAGATGACGTCCAGCCGGTGGCCTCCGGGAGCCAGCGCGGCCGTGGCTTCGGCGTAGACCGTGTTTTCCTTGTCTTCCGGATGCACGGTGAAGAAGTGTTGAAGCAGGTCGTTGCTGTGGCCGATGACCCGGCCCGACGAGGTCACGCGGAAGCGGTGCAGGCGGAGGTTGTGGAGGTGCTGGTCGGCGCATGTGCAGCCGACGAGGACCGACCACTGGATGCTGTCCGAGCAGGTTAGGCGCCAGCGGCAGAAGCATCGGAAAAGGTAGCAGTAGGGGACCGCCGCCGCCGTCTGTCCGTGGCCTGCCGCCGCCATCGATCAGAGACTAGCTATTGCTAGGTTTTCCTCTTTTCTTTTCAAAATAGCCTCCTCTTTCGCCGATTATAGTAAGACCGGGTGTGTCTGGAGGGTGAAAATAATGAAGAATATGCAGCGGGGAGGGGACGGAAGCCGCTAGTCTCTGATCGATGGCGGCGGCTGGCCATGGAGGAGGGTTATTTCCTTTTTCCGTATCGATGGAGGAGAGTTCGACCCGACACACCCCACTAGATCGTGTTTTGAGAGGAAACCTGAGAGTTATCGGCCCGGTCCCCGATCATATCAACCATTTGAAGCGCGTCCTTGTTTGCAACAACCCCTTTGTTGCAGGAAGGATTGCAACACCATCTTTGCTGCGTAAGCATTGCAACACGCCAACACCACCCTACGGAAGCATTGCAACAACATCCTTGTTGCGAAAGCATTGCAACACAGTCCTTATTGCGGAGAGCTTGAGCGCGAGGAAGAAGATGAAGGCGAGAGGAACGAGATCGTATCGCCTTATCCCTTATATGGGGAGTAGGGAAAATAAATTGGCGTTGCCATGTGGCATTATATCCCCTCCCACTTCCCCACAATCGCGTTAATCACGCGCATGAATCGAGGTTACAATCGCGGGCACACCTGTTAATCCCATCGGAGATCAAGGTGCACACTGTTACTGATGGGACGTGGTCTGGTTGGGCCCCTAGCCCACTCCCGCACGTCATGTTGACCGTTAGGTCAAAGCAAACACGTGGACAAGTAGGCCCATGGATAAGACCGGTCTAGTTCGTCAGAGCCGGGCAGAATGACTTTTGACTGCACAACGCGGGAACTTATCCCGCCAAGCGACTGGCTGTGCGGGAAATCGTTCTTGCGTGCAGGTCGACCGTCTCCTTCAACACTTCCAGGATCGAGGTGGTTCACATCACCTCAGGGGCAGCACGACATTTGGAGGCCGGCTGCATGAAGACACTGTTCGAGGGATGCTTCAAGTCCAACGACCAAAGACGACGTGCAACTCGGAGTGACCGAGGTGCATCCAATCTTGAAGGTCGGTTCTTGTGCTACTGGCAGTGTCCCGACTAAGGGGTTTCCACCATGTCGGTTCCCGGCCTGATGGGCCCAGCCGCGAACCCCTAGCTCGGTTCCATCCTGGGCC